GAGACGAGAGTGCTATTCAACACCTCATCATCGTTGTGACTGTTTGTTAATGTTTGAGGACGTAGCCCCGGTCTGTAACGCACCTTACAACTGAGAGTCGCCGTCAGGCTACTCAGTCATGGTGCTTCCCCTACGAGTGCCGGAGTGAAGAATTCACCATAGCCGGCATCGTGTTAGGGTTACTAGGTAACGTAGTTCGTTACCTCGCGTTCGCGCAGGCGCAACGCGGCGCCGCTGGGAACGCTACCGGTCGCCTCCCGAACATACCTCCTCGTTGCCACTTTCTCCGCGCCACTTCCCGGATGCCGCATTTGGACGGCCGCCACGCCGTTTTTCTCAGGCCCAGGTGTTTCCAGTTCCTCAGGTGGTCCCACTTGCCTTGGAGGCTTCGCCCCTTACTTGACTGTCCATCTTTCCCCAAACCCGCTCCCGGTCCTGTTCCCGGCCCGGACGCATCTGGATGCGCCGGTTTCAAGGGTAAGTTCGACCGGGGGGCAAGTCCCACTTGCTACCCGAATCCTCAACTTCTGACTCTACGAAGATCAACGGCCAGGAATCAACGGCCAGGAATGAAGAATCAGCGTAAGCGTAAGTGGGACTTGGCCCCCGCTTTCCAGGGGGCATCCGACCTGTGTGAGGTGTGAATGCTCTGGCGGGTTGGGCTCCGCTGCGTGGTCTTGGAGGAATGCCTTTTCTCTCAATAAGACGGATTGGTTGATGAGCTGTAGTAAGCAGTCACCATACCGGAAAATTACACAAACGGACATGAGCACCTCCATCGTGTGTTCCCGGGCACACTTCCAACTTACACCAACGTCATGACAGTTCGAAACAGGCATGGGGGGGTTGCAGACACCTGGGATTGAACCACGACTGACAAACTGAAGGGGGACAGGAAAGGTGGATTCGGTTGGCAATTTCCAGGGAGGGACTGGGTCAGCAGGGAGAAGGAGCTCTAGAAGTAGGAAGGGTGATTGATGCAGCCGGGAGGGAAAGCCAGTGCTCCAGGCTAGGAAATGATAAGGCCACAGTTCCAACAATTATACTGCTGAGATGATGTATCAAAGGGACTCTGGACCCAGTTTCCAGCAGGTGATGCTCCCCACCAATAGATGGAGCAGCCCGACTGGCAAAAGCCTCAATTCTGGTGGTTCTCTTACCACCACTGGGATAAAGGCCTTGACCAACGAGGCTTTGTTTTGAAAAAAAAAGCGAAAAAAAAAAGAAAAAAGGATTTGTGGGTGGGGCTCCACCTACCGGCCCTTTCGAAGAGTCTCACGAAAACAGCACCTTGAAGCGTGGGCAACTATGGTACACTCCATTACACAAAGAGGCCATTAAACAATCGTACACTCCATTACGCTGAAATTGCTAAGTTTTTCGAACGATTTCGTCCTTGTGCCCAAGGACGCTCTGAGGAGTGTCTAACGAGCCCCAAGTACAACACACATCTAATCAGTCCGAGGTTCAATTCCCAAAGAAAAAGCATACGAAAATTGTAGACACTGCTGGGTGGGCCCAGTCTGGTGCGGCTTCAATTCTAAGTACCACCACGACCACATGTCTAACGGATGGAGCGTTCGGCTCCAACAAAACACATGAAAAATCTACATAATACTGGACTCAGTCCGGTACTTCTAGGAAAAACCCTGTTAAAAGTTAACACCTAGTACAGATACGTGGATCGATTCCGGGTACACGAAAAAAGCACGAATGCCAAGGTCGTCAATTTTAGGTACAGATACATGGATCGATTCCGGGTACACGAAAAAAGCACGAATTCCTTTACCGGTATCAATACTTCTCTCATCGCCTTAGCGGGCACCTTGTCGGCCCGTTCCTCTGCACACACTTTCTGACCTTATTAAGGCCTATATTGCGTGCGCGAATCCCTGTGTAATGTGGTTGCTCATCATTCAGCATACTAGGTCCCATCCATTTACTACGGTAGTCCCGATTCCACTCACTCACAAAGCTACACTGCTGCAGCATGTCATATAATCTCCTAGTATCCCAAACCTCATCGCACCTTGATGCAAACCACTTCAGAACTCTGTCGAAAAAGAAACTACCCCCCTCGAAACCTTTCAGTCTCGTGTCCTTCTTCACAGCGAGCACTGGCATCAGTATGATGATCTCGGATCGCACCGTCGTATTCTGACCTATCCTGTGTTAAGTAACTGCCTATGATGGCACTCTTTTGCCGGTTGCGACCTCAAGATTTACACCACCAGTACCTTTCCCCAGAATCCCAGGCATTCGCCAAGTCGCAGCGGTTAACACGGAGACAGCGGCGGCGGCCAGATGCGCCACCACAACTCCGAGTCGGCGCACAGGGACCGCGGCCGATAGCTGGGAAAGGTACTGGCGGTTTAAATGGCTGCCCAGTCCGAAATTCCAACTTATCAGCTGACCAGAGACTCCTTTCATTCTTGGACATTTGTACGCATTCCACATAATTTATGGAAAATCGCTCGCTGCCAACTCTCAATGAAATTTCACAACCCAGGATTCCGAAGTCAATGACACCCGCCTGCCCCATCATCTGTTCGCTTTAGCATCAGGTTCTTTGGGTAACAAGAATGAAACATTCAGATAATCCGATTCACCTCATCTGCTGGTAGAGCCATCAGAACTAATGTAGGGGAAACTACGCCGGAGTCACGTCAGAACTAAGGTAGGGGAAACTACGCGGGAGTCACAAAGAATGTTTTATAATTGCAGTATGGGCCAAGATACAGTTTGCAATTGCAGTTCGGGCAATGTGTAAAACCCAGCTTTGTGGCCAGGTAGGGCGCCCGAAGTGCAATTGCAAACTGTATCTTGGCCCATACTGCAATTATAACTCGTTTTTGTGACTCCCGCATGGTTACCCCACTAAGGTAACATCATCGACTATTAGTACTCTGATCCCAAATACATGTCTGCGACTCATCCCCAAGCTCACGATAAACCTATACTCAGCATACGCACACATAACGCATGCCAATGGGGGGCTCGTGCTTTTCCGCATTGGAATCCCAATGTCCTGTTTCAGCAGTGTATGTACTACATTGTACGCCATAGTTCGCACCTCACGAATTTCACCATGTGATCCAATCACTGCAATTTCCAGTGATCCCCCTCCCGTTGTACGACCGAAGGAACACCCTTGCCCGTGTGTATTGACGCGCACGAAATCCCGACCTTTGTTCGTGTGGGGTGCGACTTCCCAGTCTAGAGCATGCAAGATTTCATGGTCGGGGAGACGGCTGAACATCTCTTTAATATAGAACGACATGCCATATGTCTTCCGATACCTTCAGTACATACTGATTCTTGAACTGATGTGCCTGCCACGATCGGCCGATTGTCCTACTAAAGCTTGCATGTTGAAGTGCCAGTGTTTTCACCATGATATCAATGAGCCTACCGTCTTCACCCGAATAGAACGCCCGGTCATTATAGCTGTATTTGGCGCAACTCTCAGTCCAGATACGGCAATAATTGCCGGGCGTTCTATTCGGGTGAAGAGGGTAGTTCAGTTGCTAAACCCATGAGCTGTTGAAATACAGACCCGACTTCGAATCCTGCTAGACCTAGATGAACAGAGTAAAATTATTCTTTTTTTTTTTGAAGAAGAAGAAGGGCGACTGCTCTGGTATGATCGGGTCACACCGGCCAGGCTCACTTCGTTCCTGTGGCGGAGGGTACCGGTTCGACGCCGTCCGTGCACGGCAGGGTATGATGCCCTAAACACACGTTGCTCAGAATCACTGTGAGGCACCCGCGAACCCGCGGGCAGTTGGCCCGTGTGTGTGAACGGGCTTGGTAGCGGTGGTGGGTTACGTGTTGTTCGACGAAGTGTGCGTGATTGTTAAGTCCGTGGTGTGGTGTGCGTTGGGTGTGTGGTGTTGTGTTCAAGGACGCTGCAGCCCTGGAGGTGGGCTGGATATCACGACCGGTATGGATCCAGTTTTTATAACACCTCCAAGGGTTGTAGTGGTTACGATACTTCGTTCCTGTGGCGGAGGGTGCCGGTTCGAGGCCGTCCGTGCACGGCAGGGTATGATGCCCTAAACACACGTTGCTCAGAATCATTCCAAGGTCGCCAATTTTGTTTTAGGGAAAATTGGAGAAATACCTGTTCGGAGAAGTATCCTAGGAAGTATCCCGGTCAGCCCCTGTATGGCCACAAATACACCTGGTCCGTGGAGAGTTACAGAAATACCGCGTTCGCAAAGTTTCGAAGCAGATTTACCCGGGGGGTACCCCGTCTTTGGTGATGGAGACCCCGTCCACCTGGCCTCAGGCAAGCACTCCAGGAGTCCAGGGCAGACGGGTCCTCCGTTGGAAGTACTGCTGTCGGCAAATTTGCCGTGAAAGAAAGAACCTACGGGTAAATCTGCTTCAAAACTTTTGGAAAACGGTATTTCCGCAACTTTGCCGGCATATTTGTCAGAATACACACGGGCACACAGGTAGTTTTTGCTTCGCTACTTCTCTGAACCAGTATATCTGCAATTTGCCCCCAGTTTGATTATACAGGCCGGAAAACGGGTCTGGCGTCCCTCAAATCTCAAGTACACTTCCCGGTACAGTCCGGGCAAGGAAGCCTGGGTTATTCTAGTACCGTAACACTGCGTAAGTGAAGAGTGCTCGAAACAGGTCAACCACACAAAACAACCGAAGAAGCACTGATTAATAGACCTCCCCACACCAGGTCTCCCAACCAAAAAAAAAAAGAAAAAAAAAAAAAAAAGAAAAGATATGCCGGGTTCCATAGTTGGTGTACTTATCCGTGATTTGGTGGGGATTCGAAGTTTTCGAATGGATGCTGATCCGTTTATAAACAGCATGCACTCCTGGGTTAGGACAGATCATTGAATCATCATTCATTGATTTTTTTTTATTTTTTTTTCCATTCATTCATTCCAACTGAATTCATGAGGACACAAGTTGCTGACATTAAACAAAAAGTTCCTGATTATTTTTTTTAATTATAATAATTTGTGGCGTAGGTGTCCATCCGGAGAGGACTATGGCGTCTGCCGAAGAGCAGTCAGCGTACTTAAGGGATGGTTTCTTCATACGTCGCCGAATGTTCGATGCTGAGGAGATTGCTGTTCTTCGGGCTTGCGCCAATTCCGATGAACTGCAGCGTGGGGCATACGAGCTCGATGATGGAGAAGGGTTGAGGACCAGGATGGTTCTTTGGAACAGGGTAGGACAAGATGCCTTCGGCTTGGTTGCCAGATCCTCGCGTATTGTACGCACTGTGGAAAGCCTCCTTGGCGGAGAGGTTAGTCCTCTCTCTCTCTCTCTCTCTCTCTCTCTCCATATATGTATCTGTCTATCTATCTATCATATCTATCTATCTATCTATCTATCTATCTATCTATCTATCTGTCTGTCTGTCTATCTATCTATCTATCTATCTATCTATCTATCTATCTATCTATCTATCTATCTTATCTAATCTAATCTAATCTTATCTATCTATCTATCTATCTATCTATCTATCTATCTATCTATCTATATCTATCTATCTATATCTATCTATCTATCTATTTAATCTACCTATCTGTCAGGCCTGGATTAAGATCTTGTGCAACTTGCTAATTTATTATTATTTTGAAAGGAGCGACGGGCTTGAGATACCATCTTGAAAGGCCGCGTAGGATGTGAGGACCATGTGCTTTACTAGTTAGCAAATTTGGGATGCGGCTAGACAACTGGGATTTGAGGAGTGGATAATTGGGGCTTCTGGGACAGGGGTAGAACTAGATGAGTAAACGATGACGATTGGAGTTAATCTCTGAGTCCTCTCTATGGTGTAACAAACTAGGGTGTTTGCCTGGGCGCCCTTGGACCCAACCTGTGCCCAGATACACACCTGGGTGCCCGGCGGGGCATGAATCCGGGCAGCCCCAGCGCGAACAAAAAAAGAGAAAGGAAACCAAAAAATTCCAGAAAGAAAAATAGTTGTGTAGCATCGCAAATACAAAAGATGTGTTGGCTGAGGGTCACATCAGAATTCCTCACGGAATCGAAGGTAAGAAAAAGAAGAAGGAAACAACAGAACCAGACTAAGGCACCCCTCTTAAACCCCCTTTAACCCCTTAAAACCCAATTTAAACCTCAAGGTAAGAAAAAGAAGAAGGAAACAACAGAACCAGACTAAGGCACCCCTCTTAAACCCCCTTTAACCCCTTAAAACCCAATTTAAACCTCACTTCCCCCCCTCGACAGCCAAGGTTCCAAAAAAAGAAAGAAGCCTGGATTTGGGCTCCTTCTTGTGCTGCTCCCCACGAATAGATTGGAGCATTTGTCCCAAAAAAAAAAAAAAAAAAAAAAAAAAAAAAACCTTTCCGTGACATGATACATGGCCCAAAAACCCCCCCCCCCCCCCCCCCCCCCCAAAAAAAAAAGGGTTGATTTTTGCCTGCACGTGGTGCCCCGTGCAGGTGACCCCCGGGCGACTTGCCCAATCGCACCATTCTCCACGGCCAGGCGAGCCAAGTAGCCTAGGTAACAAAAGCTGCAGGGGATGGCTCAAACGGAGCTCAAAAAAGGTTGCGGACGGTTGAGGGACGCTGGATCCATTTATCGCTGAAAACAAAAGACAGGAGAAGAGAACTGACCGGCCCCAGGTAAATTTGGAGTTGTTTACTCATTTGAGTTGATTTGGTTTTTGAACTCAGGTCTGTATTCAAGTTTCAACAGTTTACCAACTGAGCTAGCCGCCCCCTCAGGTTTTTTTTGTCCATTTCTATTTTTACACCAGACCTTAGTTTTTTGTATTAGAAATAGCAGAGTCAGTTAATACCGACGCATAGCCCAACACATAGCCGCAAATTGCAGCTGAAGCATGTGAAAAAGATCTCAAAATATCCGATAAATAACAATGAAGCACATCCCATAGCTTTCGCTATGGCACCTCAGTCATAATACCCGAGGCGCTGGCATCCCCAACTAGTTTCGGTCGCCGTCAGTAGCGACCTCATCAGGGGGCGTTTCGAGATGTACAAAGGTTTACTTATTAGCCTACTTGTAGTCGAGTTACCTCTGATATCGCCGCTACAAACTACCCAGACGAGCACTCGTATCCCAGAGTAAAATTCTACTCCTCTAGTCCGGATCGTACTGTTCTTCCCACTATTTTCCAGTGTCTCCGCGTGCCTGGTCCTCCTGCAGTTGAAAAACAGACGGAAGTTACCGAAAACGTTTAACCCTCGACCAGCTCCCACGAACTCTCATGGTGCGGAGAACACCACTTGTTTTTTCACTATCGCAGATACCGCATGCCTGGTTCTCCACACGAAATCCCAGGCGATCAAACTCGGACGTACAATATCGAGAAACTTTCTCCTCATAATGCCGGACACAGGAATCCTACGACAGCCTACGAAATCCAAAGAAAGACAAACAAAAATCCGTGAGAAACGAAACAAATCCTCCTCATAATGTCGGACCCAGGAATCCTACGACAGCCTACGAAATCCAAAGAAAAGACAACTGAAAAGACGTGGGAAAAAAACAAATCCGTATTCGATCTACCCGAGTCCAGTCCTAGGCGAAACGAAACAAACAAACCAAAACTCAGACCAATAAACGACAAAGGTTAATACGATAATCAGAACTTCAGAACCTCACTTCTACCATATGCTTACTATCTGTCCTACGATCGTATTTCGGCCAACCTTCATAAACGTGCATGTTCCACCCTTTATTCCTTGCTTCCGTACCCCATTGCCGTTATATCCCATTCGGACCCTTCAACCAAAGTGACCATACCCCCAAAACTTTTCTTCCCTTATCGTACAACAAAAGATCATCCCTTCGTCTTACCATCCTCCAAGGCTTCTATTCCATTCTTCTCACCCCGGCGCATGCTTGTTGGTGAATTTTCTCAAGCATTCGTTGAAGATCCAAGGTGGGTAGTTCTGTAGATGCAGCTGTCTTTTCACTGTCAACAATCCCAGGCCTGCTAGTTCATCAGACGATGTCATCGCCCGAATTCTGTGCAAGGCGCTGGTCACAACAGCCTTCTTTTGTCTCTGAGTCGAAAACGATGCGAAGTCCTGAAAAGTACGGTAAGAGAAAACCTTCTCCCGACTCCAGACCTGTTTGAAATTCTTAGGAAAGCTTTGACATGACACCTGGTTGTCTTGGATTTCCACCCTCGTGCCCAAGAAATCCCATGTCCCTTGGCCCTCGTCCGTTCGTTTCAGAACTAGCCTCTTGTCGTACGTCAGCTCAAACTTCCTCATCACTCGTTCCCGTCGTGTGGAGCCGTTCCTCTTCGGGCACCAGATGAGGAGGGTGACGTCATCAATCAGTCTCCACCCTTTCACCAGGGATCTATCAGTGTCGAGGCTTGATAAGAAGGAGCACTCGTTTGCTGCACACAGGATACAGGCCAGCGGAGGGCTGCTACTCTTCCCCATTGGGATTCCGACCCACTGCTGGATGAGCCTACCGGATGCGACTACATAAGTATTCCTTAGCTCAAAATTCACCATCTTTCTAATTTCCTCGAAACTAATTTCCATCCAGAATTCGTTACCCGTCTTTTTTGCAAACGCAGCACTTTTCCCCTTCTCCAAAACTGAGTTTTTTGTGTCCTCCTTCCACACCAGTCCGTGCCTATCTTCTTCTTCTTCTTCGTCGTCGTCGTCTTCTTCTTCTTCTCTGTGTCATCCCGATTTCAATGGAATGCATGTCCCGCGGCCAAGTCAGGTTCACCTGAATTTCTGGCCATAGATTACGGAGATCAACTACGGTCGGAAATGAAGAATCAGCGTAAGCGGGACTTGGCCCCCCGAAGGAAGGACGGGCACATGCAGCTTATGATTTTGTTTTGCCAGTGACAGTGTGTGGGTAGTTATTTTCATCTGCTTTGGGACCCTTTGGAGCTTTTGTGGGAATACCCTGAGACCGACCGTTGTAGCGATTCGTTGTTGTTGTTGTTGTTGTTGTTGTTGTTGTTGTTGTTTTCCTAGTGTGGGAAAGGGATTGCAGGGATTCCACTTCTCATCTGTTCTTTTTTATGTGTTTTGGGAGGTGAAACGGTATTCACCAATTCGTGGTAGCTGAGATAGATCCCAGGGCTCGATCCCTAGTTCCCCAACTTACCTGTGTACAATACCTGCGTCAACTCGAAGAGTTGAACCTGCGACCTGTAGAACCGCCAGTGGTAGGTAGGTCTGTCGTAGGTCTATAGGTAGCCAGGATTCGATCCATAGACCTGTAGACTAGAAGGCTAGCTGCAGTCCTTCTAGAAGGTTGGCAAATGGTCAAGTGGTGCAGGCAAGTGGGCAAGTGGTGCAGGCAAGTGGGCAAGTGGTGCAGGCAAGTGGGCAAGTGGTGTGACTAAAGCAAGCCCCTGTTGGAGACGAGGACAAGTGGCAAGGTCAAATAGTAGGACCCCGGTGCAATTGCACTGCGTCRTAGGGTCGTCGTCATACAGTCAAGGGAAAGTCTAGAAAGTACCAGTCCGGTCCAGCAAGTACCACGGGGGGAACTGTGTGCACCATGGGCCAGGGACACAGGGCAGAACAATGCAGCACAGTAGTATAAATGAAGAGGCTGCGTCCATTCATTCATTCATTCCTGCGGATGCCAGGCGGAAGCGCTGCCTTAGCAGCTTGTGCGAGGCGGTCTGCAGTGCGCCCAAAGACGAAGTGGGCAGAGAAGTGTAGTGTAGCGATAGGGTAG